TAACCAGTTGGATGGATCTCAAGCAGGGGGAGGGGCTGTGCTGTACCATACTGAACGTTTTGAACTGCAAGTGGGAACCCACTGAGAGACTCTTAAATGTTTAGTGGGTCCTTTGGGAAGTTATGCCCTGATCCTGGGAGCAAACTGGATAAAACGGTGGGACCCTAGAGTCTTTTGGAAAACAGGGTGAATGCAATTTGTGGATGGGGTTTATTTGGGTTCTGACCCACCCAAGGGGAAAGGCGTGATGGCTGCAGCTGCAAGCAGTGGGGTTCCGCCTCAAACCCTGGACCATGAATCGATTGAAAACATTCCAAAACCCTACAGGGATTTAAAAGCTGTTTTCAGCAAAAAAGAGTCAGACACGCTGCCTCCCCACAGAGACACTGACTGTGCTATTGAAATTGAACCAGGGGCTAAATTCCCAAAGAAGAAAACATCCTCTATGACCCAAAAGGAACTGGCAGCCTTAAGAGAGTTTATAGATACCAATCTGGCAAGAGGATTTATACAACCTGCTAAATCGCAGATGGCCGCCCCAGTTCTATTTCAGGAGAATAAAGGTGGAAGTTTAAGACTTTGTACTGATTATAGGGGCCTCAATGCTATTTGCAAAGAAAACAAGTACCATTTACCCCTAATGAAAGACTTGTTAGCACATTTGTCTAAAGGGAAAGTCTTTACCAAGCTGGATTTAAGGGATGCATATTTTCAAGTGCGCATCAAAGGACATGAATGGATGACCTCATTCTCCACCCCTTTTGGCTGCTATGAGTACAAAGTCATGCCCTTCGGGCTTTGGGGGGCCCCTGGGGTGTTTATGCAACTAATTAATGAGGTGCTCCATGAATATCTGTATCGGGGAATGTTGGTTTATCTGGATGACATCTTCATTTACTCTGATAACTTGAAAGATCATGTAAAATTAATTTGTAATGTATTAAAAAAGTTACTGGATGCACAATTATATGCCAAATTGTCAAAATGTGAATTTCATAAAACACAAGTGGACTATTTGGGGTATCACATATCGCATGCAGGAATTGAGATGGACCCCTCCAAAGTAAAGGATGTTCTGGGGTGGGAAGCTCTCAAAACTAGAAGGCAATTGCAAAGTTTTCTGGGTTTTGCTAATTTCTACCGCCAGTTCATTCCAAACTTTGCACAAGTGGCATTGACTCTAACTGATTTATTAAAAACTAAAGGGAAAGGAACACCAAAAGCTCAAAGGCCTGGAGCCCCATTAATATGGACTGATGAGTGCCAGAAGGCTTTTGAAGCCTTGAAAGCATTATTTACCGCTGAACCAATTCTAAAACACCCTGAGCCTGATCAACCTTTTGTAATTCAATCTGATGCTTCTGATGTGGCCATAGGAGCAGTTTTGCTTCAGAAAGACAAAGGGGGGTCACTCAAGCCTTGTGCATATATCTCCCGCAAATTTACTGAAACCAAAAGGAGATGGCTTGTTTGGGAAAAAGAAGCTTTTGCAGTTCGCTGGGCTTTGATGACATGAAGACACCTCTTGGAAGGGTCGCCCCATACGTTCGAGGTTTGGACTGATCATAAAAATTTGGAAGCCCTTACAACACCTAGAAAGCTCTCTCCTAAAC